ATGATTTTGCTTTTATTGCATCTTATTAAAGCATGAATGCCTCCCTGATATTCTCTAAAAGGTATAATGGTTTAATTTTCTGGTTATTCATTTTTATCACTATTTAGCACATTTTCTCCTTGAGGACTTACTGTTGAGTTCTTCATTTAGTGACATTGTTGCCCTTTTTAAATCAGCCTTCTAGAATTTAACATATGATGTTGCATATAAGGATGAGATCATTACTACTTAATTTTTTTCACTCCAGTAATTTTTATATTACATGAACACCCTGATTAAACATTTATCTGAAAAAGGCCATAATGAAAAGGAAACATAATTAAATATAGGAACTAAATATTGAACTCCTGACTTGAGGCTGAACTGATAAATGAAATTAAATTTCCATGGGAGGAAAAAAAAGCATTGTAAAACTCATCCAGTATTGCATTTTAATGTTTTAGTCAAGCAGATCTACAAAGCAAGCTGGTTGTATCAACTACAGTAACTGTTAATTTTTCAAGCTCTTATTTAGAATGCACTTATTGTAATTGTGTAATGCTAGAGTTCCTTGGCCTTTGAAAAAGGAAAAAGAACGAATCATCTGCATTTAAAATTCAAGCAGCACTGATGCAGAAGAGTCAGGTCTGGCATAGTTTGGTTTTCCTAGACAGACTTAAAAAACAAAACAAACAAAAACCAGTAAAGGATTATACTTTATAAACAAGATTACTAAAGACAAATCAGCCTGTGTCCCTCATATAAATTCAGATGTCAGAGCAGACTTGCTTTTGGAAGCTGTGCATATCTTCCCTCTCTGCATGTGCACTCAGACTTCTTGGCACTCACTGTCCCTGAATCAGGAAGACAGAATTTATTTTCCTGTTGGACTAATTATAGTACTTTAAAGAGATTGGTTAACCCTTCTTTTCCTACAGAGGGATTTTATCAGTGAATCCCATGTCAGAGGGAGGCTGCTGCTTGGGATGGCTGTCAGGGATGGGCAGTGGCAGTGCAATGATGCTTGCAGCCAGTCTCGTGTTGGACGTGTGCTAGTGACCAAACTGTGCATGTACAATGTACTGTTTCCAGAACTACACTCTGAGCCTGGAAATACTGCTGAATCCATGGCTGTGTGACATACAGTTGCAAAAAACAACTTATGGTTAAAAGATTTTGGATATTAAAGTCAGAATATATTTCTTCTGCTTTGTACTTCGCACAAAGTGCTTTTCATCTTCAGTACCTATAGCATGGTAAAATTGCCTATTCCTTTCCTTCCTTCCTTCCTTCCTTCCTTCCTTCCTTCCTTGGGTCTGAAGAATGGTTGATTGTGTCTCTGATGTGGTGCTGTCTGGTTAGATATGAGGTGTGTATTGTCCTCTGGGGATGTTGAGCAGCTGACAGATGTGGTGTTGGGTACCTGAGTGATAGTGTGGGTTCTTGGGATGCAGACCACCTCACCACTCTGCTGTCATTTCTGGAACAGTCCCATGGGGAGAAGGGGCAGGGAGGAGAATTTTCCCCCATCACTACATTAATTGTTGTGCCATCTGTGTGACTGAGGACATTGGTGGGATTTTTGATGTGATA